ACATACATACATACATACATACATACATACATACATACATACATACATACATACATACATACATACATTTATTTTTAAGAAAACATTAATCCAGATAATATGTTTTCAGTTTGGAGGCTATTTGCCAACATAGATGTTTGGATTATGGAAACAGAGATGTAAGAAACTGTCTCTTACACTACCAGAAGCCCAGGATCCAGCTTATCCAACCCTACCTTGAAGAATTTGGAAAGCAACAAGTATTTAAATACAGGTTTGGTTCGAAGACCACTCCCACCAAGTAATTGCCTTCCCTTCTAGTTAGAATTGTAAAAGATAATCTTCACTTTTACCATTTTTCAGCGTTTAAAATTGCAATTGTTACTTCTGAATTGCTTTTTTTTTTAGAAAAACAGTGCTACAAGTTGCTGGCCTCCAGTACAAAACATGCTTTCTTCACCTTCATCTTTTCATTATCTCAATACCCACAACAAAGCACAAAGCAGCAGCTAAACCATGTGATATTCTTTCTGTTCCATGGTGTGAGGCCAACCACCTCCATAACTATAAAAGTAACTACACCATTAGTTACAAACAAAAAAGTGACAATAAATTGTAATTGTAATACAGTGAAGTTATACCTTAGTTACTGGAAGAAGGAAGTATAAGCAGCTACTTATATGCCCATGTAACTATAAAAATAACTAAAATTTATGGTGAAAATGCAAAAGTTGGCAATAATTTGTAAATTTGTTTTATCCATGCTCAGCTGACTTCTAACTTGCTAAGGATTGATCACAGATTATGTATACAAATACACGGGCCTCACAAGGTGATCAATCTCCTTTGCTGGTGATGTTTCATTGGAGGCTGGGTGTCTGTACTGTGCATTGCACAGCCTATACAGGACAGGGGCTGGACTAAGATCTGGTTACTAGATGCTCTCCCACCCTTTTTCTAACTCTTAACCATCTATGGTCAGGTTTTGTTTGTTCTAACTCCTCAACATCCAGCTGTTGTATACAAAATATTATTCATGAATATGTTCTTAAGTTGCAAATTCTTGAGTTCATTTGCTTGCATAAATAATAATTATGTGTCATCCATTCTGACTTATGGCAAGCTTTTTCAAGGTTTCCTAGATATAGAGGGCTCAGAAGCTATTTACCTTCCCCTTCTTCTGGGAGTGCTCTGGGTCTGTGTCGCTTGTGGCTCTTCTCTGGCAAGACACAGTGGAGAACCCCTAGCACTGCTGCCAGGAGTTCCATCTCACTGAGCAATCCAACCAGCTATTTGCTCACATCCAGTACTTGACTCTGAAAAGGAGGAAGAGGAGGGGGAGGAGGAGGAAAAAGGACCTCTGGTGTCACTGTTGAACAGATTTTAAATCTGGCCCTTGCCAGGACTTTCCCAATGTCCACAACTTTTTCGGCATCATATCATACACCAGTGCCTACCAAAATGGATGAAAAATGAGAGATTCAGAGGCAGGCATGTGAAATTTGCATGGGAATTCACCATTTCAGCTGAACATTAAAATGGGCAATGTAATGGTTTGCACAACCTTTGAGACTCACAACCATGGCCGACACCTTTGCATTTTTCCTTAAAACCATCTCAAGATTCAGTACAGAGTTGAAGGGTAGCAGAGATTTAGCAAGCAGTAAATCCTACATCTACATCATGTGAATTTTGTGCAAACGGATGTGTAATGAACCACAGGGACAGGGAACATAGTGGCCTTCCAGCTGTTCTTAGACTATCAATCCCATCATTTCTAGTCAGCATGGCTAATGGCAAGGGACTTGTACTCCAGGAACAATGTCAGACTTGAGGCACAACAACATCCGAAGGGCCACATGTTCTTCTTCCCTGATTTACTGGTTTCTTTCTCCCCTCCCTTGCCACTCCTCCCTTATGTCACATCATGGCAGAACTGAGGTTGCATCTTCACAAATACCAGGGTTACTCCCTTCACAGCAAGCAACTATTGTGCTCAAAAAAGGGCAGAACATTATCTACACCAGCTTTTGAACGTTCAGCCTGCTACCCACTGTTCCAGTCCTCACAAATTACACATTCTGTTGTGATGTGTTTTCTTTCAAAATACAGTTTATTGACTTTGTTCCAACTGAGTTTTAATTAGCTTCTTGAATAGCCAACGGTATTAAGCTTCAAGAGTTTGAGCAAATGATTGCATTCTTTAACCTTTAAGGATCCTATTTGTTCCTTTTAGCTACAAATTTAAAGCTCCACTCCCTTTGTATAACCAAATGATGCCTTTCTAAAACAATGTGAGAGAGCATTATTAATAACCATCAATCATGAAGTGCATGTCCAAGGTCTCGTTACTTTAGCAGCACCTAGACACCTCGATGATTAATATCCAATTATAAGCAATGAGGTATCGGCCTTAAATTCTTCAACGTTATCTTGAATTCCTGAAAAAAGCACATGGTAAGTTCTGCAAGCCTATGTTGTTTTTTAGCTCTACACTGTAGTTGCAGAGTATTGTGCTCTGTCAAGTTAATTCTGACTTACAGTGACTCTTTCTAGGGTTTTCAAGGTAGAGAATACTCAGAAGTGGTTTACCATTCCCTTCTTCTGGGGGTGCCCTAGGCTATGAAGCTTGCCCATGACTACACAGACTGGTCCTGACTGGAGGAGGAACAGTGAGAAATCAAACTCCCAACCTCTGGCTCCACAGCCAGATACCTAAACCACTGAGCTATCCAGCCAGTTGTTGTCTTTATAGTCTTCCTATTTCTTCCAGCTTCAGCGAATAAATGTAAAGTACATTTAGCCTAGTAGATAAGAGAGTATATTATATCCACCTCATCTTTTATCCCATTCCCCTTTAAAGGAATGTGAAAGAGCTAGAAAAGGATAACAAACCTTTAACAGTGCCACTATTAGAGTTGTTTCTGTTTTTTTTTTTAAGACACATTTTAAGGGATGACGCATAGAAAGTTTTAGTAATATACTTGTTATCTATTATGTGTGTTGTAATAGTGTGTATAATTTTTTAATCATATGAAGGACACAGAGCAAAACTGTCTCTCAAAACGCTAGAATGTACAAGAATACAGTAAAATTGATTAACATTTAGAATAAAAAAGGAAGCTTTTTTAAAACGCAGTGCACAGTTGACTTACAGAATTACCATATGAAGTTGTGATAGTAGGGCTCGGAATCTACTATTACTATATAAACAACTAATTTGTAACAAGTAATTAGCTACTTCTGACCCACTCCTATTCGCAGTAACAAAGGTACTATATAGCTATACGTATTAGATTATGATTCATGAGAGATAGTTCCATTCCTTTCATAATGTGACTTTTATTTGTTGTGACAGTGTGGCCTCAAGTACTGGCTCATGCTGTGCCTGTGCACAGGCTCTTTTCAAAAGATCTATTCAACCCTTGGGAATCAAGGGTGGGGCCAGATGTTCCATGAAGCTGTTCTATACCAAACCGTCCACCATTAAAAGGCTTGTAGGTCTTACAATGTGATGGCTACTTCTTATACGGATGGCTATGAACCATAATAGGTAGGTGTGATTTATGCCATAAATCCAACGTCATAGCAGGGGCCAAACACTACCACTATAGTACTTTATACTCATTTTGTAGAATACTGTACTCTGAAAGGATTTATTCCAAGCCCACTGGACCTGTGGTCACAGGTAGGGATGGAACTTTTGCCTTTTCTGGACTACAAATACCATAATTCCCCATTCTGAGAATCCTACCTACCTTACAGACAACTTACAAACATCTAAGTGTGATGCACCCAGAGAAAGGCCTAAATTGAAAGGCTCTGGGGCTTAGCTAGGCCTAGCCCTGCCTGAGCTGTCTGCTTAGAAAGAAAGCTCCCAGCTAGCACTGGAACAGGAAGCAGGGATGGAGGTTTTGGTTTGTTTTTCTTTCCCTGTTCTAAACAGGGTCGCTTCAGGTTGATCCTTGCCTATGGATACAAGGACCACTCTAAATGACATATCACACTTCAGAGCAGCCTTGTTTAGCATGATTTTAACCTACCCAGGCCAAAATCAGGATGGTTGGCCTGGATAAGTCAAGTTAATTGTTTTGGCATGATTTTAAGTTGTCTTAAAATCTGGTTAGGTTTGTTTTATGAAGATTCTTGGTGCATTTCCTTGGATTCCCCTCACACCTGTTTCATAATCAAGCTGGCTGAGAAAGCAGGCCTTCCTGATCTACCCCCGATGTCTGGAGAGCTGATCTCAACTTTCAGCTGCAAATTCTCGGGATTTCAAGAATCTCCAGCCCTGAAAATCTGAGGGAATTATTTGCTGATGATCTGTATTTAGATCTGGTCTTTACAGCACATGGTTCAAGGAGGAAGGTGGATGCCACCCACCCACCCTCGGTTCTGTTGATGGATGGAATTCCTTGAGCAGAAACAACCTATTGGATCCTGGCTTCTATGTTCAGTGTCAAGACACTTGTGTTTACATCAACTGCCGTCTCCATTATGCTCTGCCTTGCGAGCTTCCCAGGAACATCTGACTTGTGGTTGCAGACAGACTGCTCAGTTAGACACTGTTACTGATCTACAAGGCAATCTTACCCTATTGTGAAAGCTGGGCAGAACAAGGAAGCCGAGTGAAAACAGAATGTACAGAAACATGTAAAAACCAGACATTTATTGCACTACAGTATACAGCCCAAGAAACTGTACTGGTTCTCTTTGTTCTGGGAGCCTCTATTTCATCATATTTTCAATGCTGATTTCACAGCTGGTTGGTTCCATTGGAAACAAACAAAATTGGGGTTATTCCTTTTCCAGACAACGAATTACTTTTTTTTCTGTGTATATTGTACAGAAGCATATTTCATTTCATATTTCAGTGTGTTTTCTCTCTGGGCTACCTATAGTAAATTAGGATAAATTATGGTTATTTATCTTGTCTCTGATCCATCTGGTGCACTTTACAATCCTTATCCCAAGCACCATCACAATAGTGCTGGAGTTCTGTCATCAGTAGTTCACATTTATACATGGGGAACTGAGACAGGGGCGTCCCAGGTTTCTACTAGATGTCCAATGTTCTAGCAGTTTGTCTCCTGACAAACAGCAAGGACTGGGAGTTCCTGGCGCCCAAATGTGTTTTGACTGCAGGGGCCTGTTCTTCTGCTTACCTCATGGTAGCTTTAGCCAAACCACTGTGTTTTCAAGCTGTGTCACTGTTCAATAGTCTTCCTCTCTCCGTGTCCTGTGGTAGTGAAAAGAAAAAGAGATTGATACAGTCTGTACCCTTCTATACCACAAATCCTGATTTTTGTCAGTCTGGAAGATGAACAACTTGTACTGGGAAATGTCCTGAGGTTTTAAGGGGAAAGCACAGGGTTTCACAACTCTTCAGGAACATACACTGTGTACTCTGAAAGATCACACCCTCCCTGTTCATCAGTGGTGGCTCCGGTGCTTTTAATCCATCCCTGGAAACAGGTGCCTTAGCCATCAGGGCTGGCAGCTAAAGAATGCTTTGACTGAGGGATTGAGTGCCTGCCTGCCTTTCATGGCTGTAAATAATATTTAAAACTGGGGTTGATACTGTTATTCACACAGGGTTATTGCTCACCCAACTTGACTTCCTTATGTGAGATGGTCCTTAAGTGCCCAAAATCTCATACAAAAAGACAAATGATTCAATCTCAGCCAGACACTCCCAAGCTCCTGTCAGCTTTCCCAATTCATTACAGACATTGAGGAGTGAGAAGATCCAGTAAACAGGTTTTTGTTCCTTTTCCCAGGCTCTTCAAGCAGTCCTGCCTGTTGATGTGCCATCATGAACATTCAAGGTAAATCCATCCTAAATTCTGCAGTTATGAGTGATGACCTGAGAAAATTAGGCTTAAAAAGAATACAGGGGCATGTCATTGGAAACAGCTGTCTTATGAGGTAAAGTCTCTGTTCATTCCAGCATGACCTTTCTACTTCTGCTTGTTGCAATTTTATTATTTATTGATTTGATTTCTACCCCTCTATTCACTTGGCATGCTATTGATTTATGATTGGTCATAAGGGAGTAAACATGGGCTTTATTTGCAAGTCTCATTGCTGAGACATGGCCTTTTGAAAGAATTCCGTATCTGGAAAGAAAACATAAGCACAGGAAGCACACATTTCCCTTAACACTTGATATGGCCTTGAGTCCAAGAGCGGCTGTTCAGGCACTGCTCAAAAACTCAAAAATATGTCATGGAGGCTACAGATCACCTCTGTTGTTCCCAACACCTGTTAGTCAGAGATATAATGCCTCTGATCATAATAATAACAATTATGTGCCATCAAGATGATTCTGACTTAATGGTGACTGTTGCCATGTTTTACTAGGTACAGAGTATGGTATTCAGAAATGGTTTACCATCCCCTTCTTCTGGGGCACTCTGGGACTGTGACGCTTACCCATGGCTACACGGGTTGGCTGCTCTCTTGGAAGGCAAAGTGGGGCATTGAACCCCCAAACTCTGGGTCTGGTTTCAGGTACTCCAACTCACTGAACCTTCCATCCTTTAAATATGGAGAGCCCATATTGCTGTCACCCATAAATTTACCTAGTCATTTTAAAGTCATTAAAGCTAGTGAAGTCTTTAAGTCAACAATTGTAAAACACAATTCATTCAGAGTTAGAAATTACATTTGGAGTCTCTCAGGAACAGGACCTGTGGAGCATATATATTTCATTTCTGTTTCCTAAGTAGTAACCTTGGAGCATCCTGTTCTACTCCCTGTTGTGCAGTACTTATAATAGTATTGATTGACATCACTTATTCCACCAACCTCACCCATCCTCACTTTCAACTCTGTTCTCTTTTTACCTGAGAGATTGATCCAAGCTGTTCAGAGAGACTCAAAGCTAATGAGTGTCACGCTTTGTTGCTACCCCGTATGCTGAAGCACGGAGAAGTGAATCTGTTTAGCCATCCTTATAAATGCTAATGAGTTCTGGCAGATGATACTTTCATTTTTAATCCAGGTGTATTGTTAAATGTTCATTCCCTGAGCCCTGCCTGTAGAGTGTTTTTTTTCCAAAGATGTCTTCGTAATAATAAAAATATAGATGGCAAACCTGCTGCTGTACAAAACACAGTTGCTAAGGCAGAAGCAAAAATGCTTTTGTGCTGAGGATGTGCTGTATTGTAAGAAATGGGCCACCTTGGCAAACTGCCAGGATTCCATGGCTTCCTACAGTTGTACACCATAAACTTTTATGGAAAGATGAAAGCCTAATTTCCTCCTGCCATTTGTAATGGAGCACCAAAGAATAAAACAAAATTCAGATCAGTAGTAACTACCTCTGCTCAAAGGCTTAAACAAAATCAAACTGGGGAAATGGTACGCCATGGACCATGGGCAGCTTGGACCAAACAGTGGGGTACCTGACCACCAAATTTCCAAAGTACCTCCCTACTCCAGTGAGAAGTATTATATTGCATGGGCTCAAGGCCTCTCTCCACTGTTGTAGGATGAGCTTCTGCTTCACTAGTCCTGTGAGCCACTAGGGTGATATACAAGATGCATTATGCAAGATCAACTGACCTCTCCACCAACCCCCATATGCTATTGCAAGCATTTCCAGAAACTATGGAAGGTTTTTAAAGGCTCCCAGTTTTTTTAAAAAAAATCCATTGCATCTATTCTAGCCCAAACAAATAGAATCAAATTTTGTTATACTTTCACATTTGGATATTTTACACTGGACTCTTCCACTGAAATTGCCTTTCTTCCAAAGAGGAATTCTAGAGAGAGGTTTTAACATAAAACAACTACATCAACATGGATAAGAGTGAATTTGGTGTTGTGGCCAGTATCTTATTGCTTGGTTCCAGTTAAGAGCAAACCTGTTGAATCAATTGCTGGCTGATAAGTCAACACCTGTGTAAATCTCATTGGTTCAATGGGTCTACTCTAATTGTGACCCTCAATAGAATGATGGCCTATATGTTTAGCTATGTATAGCAAAGCACGGATGAGATCAGATGTGTAAAACAGATGGTTTATTTAACTCTGTGTGATTCATTCAGGCTGCAATTCATTTAGATTGAACTCACTTGGGAATTAGTCCCTTAGAGCTCAGTGGGGCCTACTTCTGAATAGAGATTTCTAGAACTGCCCTGTTGACAGTATGAAATGGCTGCTCCCTAATTTCTGATCCTTGCTCTGCATTCTTTAGAATTTTATGCAACTTCTTGTGGAACACTTTGGTTTCTGCTTTGAGTCACTATCACTAAACTATGGATAAATGACAGTTGACATGAGACAGTATTTCCCAACCTTGAGTAACCCAAGTGTTCTTTGATGGCAACTCCCAGAAGCCTTCACCACTACCTGGGCTGGCTGGAGTTTCTGGGAGTTGCAGTCGCAGTCCAAGAACACATGGATTACCCACTGTTGGGAACCACTGACCTATGAGATTAGAAGCTGCCTGTGTTTCACATATTTTTGCTGTCTTTTCCTTGTGATCGTACTACACCATAATGCATGATGTGACATTATGACGCTATGAGTCTCCCCTCCTTATAGCACTGACTGGCAAAATGTGAAGTGAAACTTACTGTAATGATGTCACATCACGTGACATGCCATAGTACCTGCTACAAGCCCATGTAATGTAGTGGTTAGAGTCCTGAACTAGGGTTTTAAAGCCGTTTTTGCTCCTTACTGAACTATTAAATTCATTCTTACACCCGAAAGCCCTGGAAACTGGGGCAACTCAGAGCCTAATGCATTAATGCTGCCCTAAACCCACCAATGTATACACTGAAACCAGCATTCTATATGCATCTGTTTTTGAACACTGAATATTAACTATAGGGACAAGGATAATTTATTTGCCCTTGTGAGGTGCCATATCAATTTTCAGTATAAATTTCTTTTAACCTATGGTAACTAGACAACACACGTCTCATATTTCCCTTTCAATATGTTGGTGCAACTGACTCAGCAACTGCCCATTACCTGTTTCATTCTAACAAAGTAAACAAGAGCCTGGTGTTCTGACAGTTTTTAATCAGCTTACTTAGAGATCAAAAAGTCCAGTCAGTATAGTCAATCCGAAGTTCCTGTTCTCCTGGTGCTCTCTCCAGGGGGTTGCTCAGGGGTTGTTCTGGGTCATTCAGATTTTGTTTTTATTTTGTTTTTTGTTGCAGATTTGATTAGATCATCCTGGTATTGGCTTCTACACATGGGGAGGGTATTTGTTGCTGGGTGTGCTGGGATTCAGGAGGTCACGCCAGTACCTCCTATCCACGCACATCCGGAACAGTTTGCTCTCAACACAGACTGCCCTCTCCTTGCCTACTTAACTCTCTTGTTCCTTCCCACCTTGTTTTACCTGTTCACAGGGTGCAGATCTTCCAGCAGAAAAGTGCCCATAAGGAAACACCATTGAATGACACATACCCATAAAGTGCATGGATCAGCAGGGATCAACCCAGTGCTAGGTTCCCTATGGGCAGATCCTGCATTGGAGCAAATCAAAACAAAAATACAGCATCATCTGTCAATAGTATGAAAAATAACCCAGATAGGAAGTAGGGGATTTAGTTTCAGGCCTGTGCTGTGAGGACACTGGAATGCAGTGTTAGCATCCTGGGTACAAGGAAATGAACAAATGCTCAGTGTGGACAGACCCTAAAAAGGGGGCTACAATAGTGGCTGGGCTTTGCATGACTGCACTAGAGTCCTCATTATTTGCTTCCCTGAGAGTTTTGATAACCATTTTAGTTCTTTTTATTAAGCCAGCCGATATAAAATACTAAGTGAGAAATGCAGTTTGAAAATGACAAAAGCAAATAAACATATGGAATATTTTCCAGCAATCTGGCAAGGCACTTACTGCATAGATACAAGCATTTTAATTATCTCTTGCCTCCCATTACTAACTGATTGACCCCAGCGGCTGTGTCTTAAATCTTTGTGGAAGAGATTATCAAGTCGGTGTATCTAATTATGGCTTAAATCTTTGTAGAAGGGATTATTGAGTCAGTGTATCTAATTATGGCTGATTTTTTTTAAAAAAATGCATAATCTACAAAACACTAACACACATCCTTGCCGGTCCAAGGACAAATTTTGAATGGATGAAAGACCAATTTTCTGTTCCTACATTCTTTAGGAGTCATAGGTACTGCCATAAATGCAAAGAAAAACAGGAAAAATCCCAGTCTGAAGTGAATGGTGGTCTACGTCTGCTGTTGAAAGATGTGT